AAATAAAAGTCTTCAATAACTGTTATCTAAGAAATATAATATAACAATCAAAATTAACTGTTATTTACAGATTGTTTAAATAAAAATCAAAAATAACTGTTATTTTGGATTTATAAAATAAAAAATAATTATTTGTTTTTTTTTTTTTTAATTCTGCATAAAAATTACAAATCAAAATTTATTTTCAAATTTGATTCTCGGTGAAAAAAGAAATCAGTTGGTATGTATCACTTAGCTTTATAACATTTCCTTCATAGTGAAATTTTTCAATGACAACTTTCATCAAGAACTGTTATGTTCGGTCCCTGGAAAAAAACTGCTGACATTTTGAAGCAAACGAGCGAAATATATGTATATACCGGAATTTTATATTATGCTGCAATTCTTCCGAATATACATACATACATACTATGTGCACCTATGATTGCACTTTCTCATCAACTTCATCTGCGTGCCGTACAAGAAATCGCGTGTAAATTACTTACAAATTACTTAAAAGCGTTAATGATAGCGTACACGTACATACCTAAGCTTATACATACATATGTATGTACATATGTATGTAGATTAAATGCGGTAGAAATTAAAAAAAGCGAAGAACACAAGCATACAAACATACAAGCATACAAGTTAAGTATAAAGTAATAACATTAGTGTATTAATAAAGAAAAAGTGGGTGTTGCACATGCTGACAATGCGTTAAAATGCTACAACATCTGGTAGCAATATACAAATTTTTTCTTACCATTAATCTCTTAAACGGCAAATATATGTATAACAAAGGCGCACACAAACGAGCACTAAAGGTACGTAGTTGAATCCACTCAGTCGATCTATGCATTATTTGAGTAGAAAATTGTAGCAATTTCAACTGTCAACGCGCTCGATTGCTGAGCTGCTGCTGCGGCTGTCGCTTTGCAAACGCCGCTGTATTTAATACTATCATGTATTTCCCTTTTTCTCCTGCTGATCCTGCCGCACGCTTGCACAGCGACGACGACCCACTTAACGGCAAAGCGGTAATCGCCAAGCATATAAAAAAAAGTATCAATTACCAAAACAATTATTTACCTTTTCGCAAATCTCCGGCTTTTTATTGCAACAATGAGCGAAACAACAATACTCGTATCTACAATACAATGCAACAAAGCGATGCCGCCTCGAGACCTCTAATAACTGTCATCCCAGCCACGGTATGCGGCAACGTTTAGCTGCTGCTCTAGCTGTGTGCGGAAGTAGGGACAACTACTACTTTTCCTGCCTGGCTACCCAAATTCAGCTAATGTAAAGGATACTGTTCGCTTTTCTGATTTCTCTTTTGTCGCCATTTCGCGCTTATTCTAAATTTTCTTATATGTTGCATTTTTCGATACACAAAGCGGCCTCCGTTGAACGCATAGTTTGCAACCACTCAAATACTTTATTTCTGTTATTCTATCCCTTTCGCACGCACTTTATATATTGGGCATGTGAACACGAGGCAACGCACTTAACTGAAAATTTGGAGTCATTTATAATTTTGTATTTCGGTATGTATGTACACTACAGGCCAAAAGTATCTTCCCAGAGAATTTTTCAAAACATATGCAAAAATTTGTATTTTAATTTTTTTTGCCAGTTTTTTTCATAAAAATATAGTTAATACTACAACAAAAAAAAACAATTTCTAAACTTTGTGCAAAGCTCTGGAAAATTTAATAAATTTACATGCAGATTTTCACCTTTACATCAGAGTTTTTATAAATTTTTTTAGTACGCAATTTTGTAGCTTATTAAATTTAGTACCATAAAGTGCAAGTTTGAAGTAGCTAGGACTTTCCGTTGATTTTTTCGCAGGCATTTTCTTCCATAAGAAAAAAATATCGGAAAATACTTTGCATGGAAAAAACGCGAAACACTTTCAAAAAATAAAATTAAAAATGGCAAAAATCAACACGATTTTTTAGAAACTTCAAACTTGCATTTCTTGATACTCAAATATATTGGGCTTCAAAACTGCACCTTAAAATAAATTTAAAAAAAAAAAAATCTGATTAAAAAGATGGAAATTTAAATGGAAATAACCACATTTTTATAAAAAACTTGCGAATGAAATTTAAGCTAAAAATTATTCATATGTTGTGAAAAATTCTCTGGGCAAATACTTATGACCGGTAGTATATACACTATGCTGCGTTAAAATATTTTACTCTTTGGAAAAACTCACAGTAAAACAAAACAACAATAACTACTTTAATATTAAAATCTACAATATGCAAATTTTTCTGCTTTATTGTGGAGTGAATTTCCATCAGCCTTAAGAAAAATGCAAAGGAAATTTGACTAAAAATAATGCAAATTATATTTTTATTGAGCTTTGTACCACGATTGTTTATTAGGAAAAATGGAAAAAAGCAACACAGTCTAAGCGGTAGAAGTTATAGCAGCTATTTCGGAGATCACCAAATCTCCTTATCAGACTTCTTTTTTTTTTAGACCTAGATTATGTGCTTCGAACTACGGGGCTTCTAGACAACAAAGTTTGAGCCTAGAATGGACTACGCAGTGGCACATGTTGTGCTCTGTTGTTTCTTGTTCCTCGCAACAAACCGAACCTGCATTGCTCGGAGGAAGCAAATCCTCCAAGGTTTGACAAGTGTTTCACCGCCTTGTAGTAGCCAGTAAAAAAATTGCTACGTCGCTCCTAGGAAGGCGAAGGAGTTCGTGGGCTCTCCTTATCAATATTTTCCGTGTTGGTCCAGTAATTTTCGCTGCCGTTTTAATGGAATTACTATATCTGAATATAGACGACTAACTGAGCTTTAAGCCTTAAAACCAGAGTACACTCACCGCATGCCAGTGAAAAGCAGCATTCTGTGTTGTATGACATAGACGCCTGCCCTGATGCCACAGTAAGTCTTGGAACCGTCGGTATACAAAATGTGGCTGCCCTTTGAGGCTTTTGATCGTTCATTGTCCCACTGTCCAATATACATACATATGTTCATAAGTCTGTATGCTTATTTCCCCCATTTGCATCCCATTTAGCGACTACGTAATTCTCGCCCTGGTACTTTGAAAGTAAGTACTTTGATTTTCTTCTTCCGACTATTTACATAACTCTGGTTGGTTGTCTGGCTGACTAGCCGGCTGAAAGACTTGCTCTTCAATGGATGGCTGTATGGTTTCGAATGCATGTACATACATATGTTTGTAGTTTCGTTGGTTGGTAGCCTGATGCTAAGCACCCTTCCACTGATGAAAAAAGTAACTTAATATTGTAATTGTAGCGCAATGAAGCGCATTTTCTAGCATCAAAGTTGATTTTTCGCAAGTGATAAGCCTACATATGCACCAACTTACACACTTATGTATATACTTACGTGCATTTGTAAATACAAATGTATACAGAAATGCTCTCACTAACACAAACGAGCTTAGTTACGCATTTAAATAACGACAAACTTATATGTACATAACTACGGTGGCGAAAATGTAAATAGGAAAGAGACAGTTTAGCAAGTTGTGGCTATGTTTCTTTGTTTAAAAAATGTTTATTTCTTATTGAAATATAGCTATCTAAAAAAAAACCGTGTAAATCAAAACTTCAAACTTTTTAGACCATTTTAAAAATTCGACGAATGTTAACAAATGCTCACAAAAATTTTGAACTTTTTAATCGGATTTTATAGAAATTAAGTTTTAGTGTACTAAAAAGCAAGCTCGAAGTAGCTAAGATTTGCCGTTGATTTTTGGCAATTTTCTGTTCACGCATTTTCTTCCATATAAAGTATGTTCAACAATTTTTTTATACTCCTTCCGCAAAAATAAATGCCAAAAATCAATGGTAAGTCCTAGCTACTTCAAACTTGCACTTTGTGGTACTAAAATGGAATGGGCTACAAAACTGTTTACTCTTTAAAAAATTACTTTAAACCAATTTTGAATTTTTTTGGTCGAATTTTCCAATTTTTTGTACAAAGTTTAAAATTTCTACTTAAATGGTTTTTGTTGGATAACGAGCATTTAACATCAAATAAACAAATGGAAAATAGCCAAAAATGCTTAAATGCCTCTTCCCTATTTATATTTTCGGCACTGCATGTATGTACATAGGCCTAGCCAGAAATTTACGCCACAAAAGTCCTGCAGCGACGCGTTGGAAGCGCTGCAAAGCAAATAAACTGCATAACATGAAAAAAATGAATTAAATCAAATACTTGGCTGCGAAAGGTGGTGGTAAAGGTGGATGTAAAGGTGGTGGTTGATTCAACGGTTGGTTGGTGCGTTGATAGTCAGCAGTCGGCAGAAGTGGTTTACAGTGGGTCGGTTGGTTGGCTGGGCTGAACGTAAGTATGTATGTATGCATATTGTATATTCTGATGTGTATACATATACATACATATATAAGTAGCACTCACTGTCTAACCAGATATTTTCCGTTAAGGGCATGGCTGCGCTGCTGCAGCGTAAGTGTATGGAAAAGTATCGAGTTATCGGTTAAAATAATCGCACACTGCGTCTCTTATCTGATTATGTAAAAATATTGTAATGTTTCATTTTTTTCCGGTTGCATACAGTGCGAAATTGCATCGTACCCAGCATTTAGCAACAATGTACATATGTACTTTAGGTTTTAAAGTGGCAAAGGGAGTGCAATTACGAGTAAGGGTTAGACAAGTAATGCGGCGGGTTTTGAAAGAGTTTTATAGTAAAAAATAGTGTAAAATAGAGTTTAGTAAACGAAATTCGCACTGCATCAGTAGTGACAGCAGCGGAAGTGGTCGGCGCATTTACTGGGCTAAATAGTACGTACATACATACACATGTATATCAACGCATCATTTTAAACTTGAATGGGGGTGTTTTCTCCCGGCCAAAATTTTACTGGGTTTGAAGGTCACAGAAGATTTAGTCTTGAAATTGAGAATATTCAAATTATATCCACACATACATACACACGAGCATATAACGAAAAATTACTTTTCCATTACCTTCTTTTTTTCGTTTCATGCTTCCAGGTCAATCGTCCACTGACTATGAAGAAAGAAGGCATTCAAACGCGAAATCGCAAATTATCGTCCAAGTCGAAAAAGAAGAAGGGTCTAGGTGGTGCTTGTTTACCAATTGGCAGTCACTTGGGAATGGGTGACTTTAAGCCACTCGATCCCTCGAAAGGTTTCGGCGGCGGTTTTCCAGCATCGATGGGTGAGTTGCATTGAAATTTAAACGATAGTAGGTTTAGAACTCTGGCAGGCAGACATTGAAAAATTCAACTGTTAAATAACTTGAAATAAAAATAATGAAAAAATGCAATATTAATATAAAGTAATAATTTTAGGGTTTATAGCCAGTTTCAGGAAAGCAATTTAAGTGAAAAATTAAATTTTTATTTGAATTTATTATGACAACTTAGAAACAGGAAGAATTATTATTCGCTAAAACTTCTGGAGTTCAGTTAGCCTATAATAAAACCATAATATTAAAGTTTGAGAAAAAAATCTGAAATTAAATTCAATTCCAATTTGAGGCTAAATACCTAAATCAATAAATAAAGAATAACATCGAAACTTTCGTTATTGCCACCTACATATATGTACATAAATATGTGCATGACTACCTACATATGTATGTATGTATGTATATATGTTTGCACATACATATTTATTTACTTATATAATACATATGTACATAAGTCATATACTAATGCATAAATGAAAAAGAGTAATTTGTTTGCTAAAATGTAAATGTAATTATTTAATTTTGTTTTTGTGTTTACCTTTTTTCTCATGCTTTGATTTCCAGCACAACATGGCCATCTTTCCAGCGGTTTACATCCCGCACATGCGCATATGCATGGCGGCTGGTATGCCGGCGGCATGGGCGCTTTGGGTGCTTCTAGTGGCCTACAGGGCGGCTTCTCAACGGCGGGTTCACTGGGTGGCGGTGTGGTGCCACATTCGCAGCCATATCATCTTGGTTTGGGTTCGATGGTAAGTTAAAAGAGAATTTCAATATTATGTTTTGTTTTCAACTTCAAATACATAAGAGCGAGCTCGAAGAGAGTAGTGATACATATTAGTAAAGGAAAAGATGAAAGTGAAAAAAGCGTATACAAAAATTCGTTAAATAAGTAATGAAAACTTCATTTTAAAAACTTGAATTTTTTTATGTACTATGTATATTTATATGATTAATCACCAAAAAGTAAATAAACAATGCCCGATTCGATACGCCTTTACTGTTCATTGCACAGCAATCACTGAGACTGGTTTATTCGCTCTTATTAGATAATACGAGGGCTGCCTGTTAAATTCTGCGCGAAGGCCACATTACACATTGTTATATACATTTCCACAGCTCTATTCTATTATTTGACTTTTGATGAAATTTAACGATTCTCAAAATGAATTCTTCGTTACCTTTAATCCTAAGCGGCGCATAGGGACGGTGTCCAGATTTCTGTGGGCAAAAATCTGGACATTTCTATACAATTTCGTCGAAAAAGGCTGTTGCCAGCTCTCAAAAAATACGAGAAATTCATATAAAAGGACGCATAGAAATCAAAAATAATTATTTAAAATTTTCCATTAAGCTTTCTTAAACCAGTTGGCATGTCTTAAGCAAAAACGCTCGTATATTTATTTCTTCAAGAAAATTTACAGCAAAAGAAAGGTTCTTTTTCAAGCAACTGAAATGATGAAAAATGTTTCTTGTGATTTCTCTTGAGTGCTAGATTCTAAGCTAAATAAGCTAAAGAATAAAAGAACATATGTATATAACATGTTTTAATGCATTTTTTTCTGGTCAAGACGTAAATATAGCTGTAAAAATGCTATGTTGGGGACATCACTAAAACTTTTTATAAATTTAAGCTAATGTTAGAGACATTGTTTAAAGCAGAAAACCGCATCATCAAGAACAATTATAAAATCCCAACAAAAAACCTAATTTCTTATTTTTCCTTTCCGTGTTTTTTTTTCAGAGGCTCTGAGCTTTACATAGGTGGCATTGTCTTAAATAATATGAAATTTTCATTTATACAGCTTTAGGAATATTTACTCAAGAGATAAATACATACTAAAAGTCTGCCATAATATCAGATTCACAGAATACAAGATAAGAAAAGATCATAGAGAATAGGGCAGCTCATCCGTTTACCGCATAGGTTTCAGTTTGATGTTGGCCGTTGACAACGTAATTTTTTCCTTCTATTAAATCTACACGAAACCCTTGAAAATCGGTGCAAAGTGAAAAATCAATACACTTATAGTACGTCCCGATTCAAAAAATATACGTTGGTACAACTTTCTTAAAATTGGCACAGTCCCGCTGAAATCGGTACGAATAGTCACCGTAGACTTAGGGCATCTACTACGCCTGCGCGTCATCTAGAGGTTCTATTTCTGTCAATCGCTTTGAGCTCCTTTCATCTTAACCCTGCTTTCGCCGATTATTCGATTTCATTCCAAGGCCTTCTTTGCCATGCTGTCGTCTCCTTTGCGCAAAGAGCTATCCACTTCCATTTCTGTGTCCGAATCCAAATGCTATGAAACTCCATGTTAGGTTTACTGCGCAACTCCTGATTTGAAATTGTTTTAGGCCAAAAAATTCAGAGCATTGTTCTTAGAAAATTACGAAAATTTTCAGTCGCCTGGTTATTGCAGTAGTGACTATCCAGGTGGAACTGCCATACAGCAGTATCGGGAGCAAATTCAGTTTGAAAAGCCTAATCTTTAAGCTGGAACTCAGATTGCTCTTTCGCCATAATGTGTACGTCATACCAAAAGCTGCCGTGGCTTTACTTCATCAGTGCAACTTCGCTGTCAAGGTATATACATATTTAAGTAAGTAAAATTCCTCACCGTCTCAAGTGTTTGGTTATAGAATACCACGGCATCACTAGTTGATTTTCGGGTATGTTGCCTTAGCTTCTCGGAAATAGGATGCGTCAAAAGGCATATGCCGTCAGTGCAGTGAACTGGGCATGGACCACCGAAGCCCGTGACCGGGAAGTGGACTAATGGCACCACACTGAGTTACATCAACTAAATATGTTTCTCTCAACACTTGTTCTCGAAAAAACCAAAATTTTCCGATATCTCTTATATTCGAATTCAGCGGAACATTTTACAAAGGCATGATGGTCATGTTGATAAAGTTCCACCAATCAGATTTCTTGTAAACTAGTGTTATTGGGTTTGTGGGTATTTGAAATCAGCCTTGACACCAGCATAATATATATGACCTTTGAAAAAGATTAACCAAATTTCTAAATTGCGGCGTGGCTCGATTTATTGCCTGTTTTGACAACGGTGCATCTTCTGAATATCAAAACATTTTGATATTTGATGCCGGTGGCTGTAAAGCTTGCCTCATGTGTATTAAGCCTTATGATCACATTGGAAAATATTTTGAAAGCAAAATCATTTTCACTCATTAACTACTGTTTTGTTTTTAAATGTAAGGCGCAAGACTTAAAAGGCAACCCTCGTTTTTTACGTCTTGGTAGTAACTAAGTATTTTATTCCACGTTGATTTTCTCTCATGTAGACATACATATTTTCTTTATCTAGTTGCAACCATGATAAAAACATAGCAAGGTATAACCGTTCTCTCAATTTGTCGGCCATGATTTTTTTTTGAAGTTTGCCAACATTTTAAAATCATATAAAAGTGAAAATAAAAAAATGAAATTGTTCGAAATTGTTGTTGCTTGAGATTGAAAATGAAAATGTGTGTGTGAGTTTGTGAGTAAATTTAAAAATTAAATTGTTTGGAAACGTCAAGAATTTTAAAAGTGACTCTCAGCGGTTCTACCTTACTATATTTTTATCATGGTTGCAACCTTCGGCATCTAAGAAATCGGGCTCTCTTTTGTTTACCGCTCAATACTTTTGACTCGTTTTTTGTTACTCTTCATTTTTACTACAGTTAAATTATTTAAAAAATCATACTCATTCACACATTTCCTTCTTTCTTCATATTGTCCATAGGGCACCTGGCGGACGGACTACACGTGATGGAGCGGGAATAATTTGAATAATAATTTTTTCAACTGAAAGTAAACAAGGCAAAGCATTTGCAAAAAAATAGAAGCAATAAACACGCAACAAGCTAAGCGCTTTGCTGAAGAACGTAACCAGAAAAAATACCAGTGAACCCGAAATGTCAATAAGAAAAACAAATCTGCAACAACAAGCCATACGCAAAGCCGGCAACAACAACCGCAGCATAAAAACCGTAACTGAACGCTAACGCCTACTAAATTTGCATACAACAAAGAGTAAACTGCATGCGAAATAGAATTGACTACAACAACAACTAGTCTAGGATTTCAACTAACACAACTACCAGCAATAACAGTTTGGCACAAAACATCAATCATCAAAAATAATAAAAATCGGTAAATACAAAACCCTAATTTTGCACACACAAAAAATTCAATATCTTACTGCGCACCTCCCGGCACTCTTCGGTTCTCCACGACCACCTTTCTTGGGCGTTGTGCCTTTGGCAACTAATGCTGGGATTATCCTGTCGCCGCCAACATTAATGAGTGCATAGTACGTTCATATGTATGAAGGAATATGCGAATAGTTGTTGTGGAATGCATCATCATTAGGTGTAAAAACATACCAAACATACAAAGGAACGCACAAAGGAGTCCACAAAGTAACATACCACGCATTAAAATTTGTATACCAGCTTTGTAGAAGAAGAGCTCGTCCACCGCCAGGATTTACTCAATCGAGCACGAAATTGTGCCGAATCAACTTACGGTTAACCAATAAACAAGAACCATGACAAAAACCCAGCGCGACTTCAAATAGGAACTCAATTTCGTCTCAGTTGCTAACTATTTATCCATGCACGCATCCATCGCTTGTCCGTCACGCTGCACTTGTTGTCCTGCGCTCGACCAACAGCCAGCTACATAAAAGCCTAGTTAATGACTCGTTAACTTTATTGTTTCGTGCTGTTACCTTTTCGAGTGTTTTGCATTCAAACGAACGATTACACGAACGGCTAAGCCACTGAGCGACTGAGCTACTGTTTAAACCACAGCGTTGCGGCTTAGCCAAAGGGATTAACTGAAGCGCAGAGAAACGGTATGCTGCATTGCGAATACATTTTTACAGTGTTGTTGCAGCGTTTTTGTGCCACAGACAAGTGCTTGGCGCCAGTTGAGTAAGCGTAAAGTAAAGAAGGCGTATAAGTTGGCAATGCTTAGATCGGGGACTTAACGGATTTACTTAGATACAAGTGTGTGGGTGTTTTTGTGTACCTACTTCGAGAGTTGTTGAGTGAAAAACGAAAATGTTTGCTAGCTATTGCAGTGGCTGCCAAGAAATTTATGTAATTAATATAAGCAAATTTTTTTTTCTTAGAAAAAATTTTATTTTTATTTCTTTTTGATTTTATGCTAGTTTTTAAGTTTTATATTTATTAACATAATTTTTCGCTAATATTAATGTACATATATGATAGTATTTTAGCTAAACAACATTGCGTGCAATCCCAGTTTATTTAAGTACATAATTCTCTTCCCTGCTTGTAAACTAAAGTTTGCTTAGTTAGTTAAAACCACAGGGGATATCGTTGCCTGGATGAAAGATTTTCTATAATACTTTCAGCAGGTTATTGGAAGTCGCGATGGAAGTTTGGAATGCAATTTCTCAAAAACGCGATGATAGGTCTTCTCCAAAGTCTCTGAGCATGTTACTAGTTCACCAAATTAATAAATGATTTTTTTTCTATTGTTAACTCTTAATTATCTTTGAGTTTATGAAGAAATTTGTTTAGTAAAATTTTATCGTATGCGAACATACGAAAAGATGTGATAAAAATTTGCACTAAATTAACTATTCCTTTTATTCAACTTCTCGGACACTAAAGGGGATTTCCAAAAATGGATAACACCATTTGAAAGAACTTGATTAGTTTAGTATGACTACAGGTTTAACTCAATTTGTACTAAATTACCGATAAAGTTTTAGTCCAGAACTCTGAAACTAAAGGAGATAACCAAACTATAATACTCTATTTCCACTTGGCATTAAATGACAAAAATTGTAATGACAAATTTGGGCATTAACAAATATTCGTCCCATTACGTTTAAAAAAAAACTCATTTAAACTCATTTCCACAAGGCATTTTTAAAATTTTTGTCATTTCAATGCCTAGTGAAAACTCGGCATAATAAGAATAGTCAAAATGACGCTTACGACAATCTTTTATTCAGGCGACGATATCCGATATGTGTGTGTTTAGTTTCTTCTACAGTTCGATTTATGCTGGAAGATGCATAGAGCAAGCTCTTCGCTGAACAAACATAAATTTGTAAAATTACAAATTTGACAAAAAAAAAACAGTAAAGCAGCATTTACATGAGAAGATTTTGTAAGCGATTCAAAATCGCTTGAAAAGTTGAAACCGATTTTATCGCTTTCCAGAAAATTTAAACACAATTTGCACAGACTATTTTCTTTAAAGCGATGTTGAATCGTAAATTTTGTTTCAGTTTTCATCTCCAACGTCGAAAAATTAAATACTTTCCTTCTAAGTGCAAACAGAGCTATCTATCACCTACTTCAGGGCCGGCGAACCTTTATAGATATACATACGTGCCATTATTTCCCCAGATATATTCAATGTAGCCATGACATGCCAACAACAAATCATGACTTATCACCGTTCTTAGAGACATTAATTACCACACAAATCGTACAAAAAAAAATTAAAAGAACGAACGAAGCGTCTCCTAAATGTCTCTGTGTACCTTACGTGGTAAGCGGTAAGGACTCACTTGCATATGCAGATGAAAATATTGTTAAGACAGCCATTGCAAGCTTCAGCAGACAGTTATACTATGTCTGCAATTGAGTTCGAAGTTTCTAAAATTTTATTATTACCGTTTTCGTCCCTATTGGCTGATGGTCTTTCTAATTCGATTGATTCCAACTCTTTCCTTGTTTCGACAAAGTTTTAGTCCATATTGAACTACACTGGAACTCAATCAGCTGCATTTCAAAATCTCCGACTTCCAGCCAATCAAATTTAGACAAGTTCAATTTATCAAGTGAAGGTACATCAGATGCATAATAAATTTGAATGCTTCCGATAAATCTGAATTCAGAAAACCTCGATGAAAATTCTTCGATGACAGAATTTATTTCCAAAAAAATCTTCGGTGTCTCATGTATGTAAATCCAAAAAAAAATTTTTAATTTTGTGAAACATTTTTAATTTTTGGAAATAATATCTTTACAAATAACTTTCGAATGCGCGAATGAGATCTATCATAATTATAAAAGTTTTATTAGCGCTTGAAACTTTCCGTTCAAATTCAATAATTGCTGGCACATATCCGTAAAAACCATAAACTTTGCACGCCCCGTATAAGCCTCAAAGATATTGGGTTCACTATTTTTGCGACTACGCTTTCTATATTACAACGGAGACGAAACCATGCTTTTCAAACAATGCTTGTTGATGAGTGATGCACTGGATCTCAAGAATCGAATATGTTTTGTGGATTTTGTTGATTACGGTCAGTATTTTTGTCAATTGCCAGTTTTATTTTTGGGTGTGAATAGATCTTGCTTTGTTCTCCAATTCAAACGCAAAAAGAAAGTGTTGCGGATAGGTAGTAACTACTGCTAGTACTTGAGGAATTGGATCCTCAAATAATACCTTGCCCAAGTCTAAAATTAAAACAAATTTTTTTTAAAGGCTCTTTATCATTTAACAATAATTATTTAAAAATAAAGGCCTTTTTTCATGATTTTTTCACAGCAGAGCTTTTAAGCTTTAAATTTGTTGAACAAAATGTATTTTTTTCATTCAAAATGCATGTTTTAGATTCTGCAAATTTTTTGTGTGAATATTAAAGCTTTCACCGCCCAACTGAAATATACAAGGAAACTTTTGAAGGTGAAGGTCCTAAAACACAAATATTGAGGTCTCACCAGTACACCAGTTGCTGAGCAGGCTTCATGCCTTCTAAGTCGACCACTTGCTTGCTATAAGGAGATTTCAAGAACTAAGTTAATAAAAGATGGTGCAAACTTGCTGATTGTAAATTTGAATGTTAAATATAACTGCCATGGAGATAGTAGAGGTAGTTCAATGCTCTAAGTTTTAAAAAAGGGAAATTACTATATTTTTTCAACCTAAAATAATAGGGGCATTTCTTAAAATGAAAAAATACGCGAAAACTTTGCTAAAGTTTCAAAAATTTGTATAAAATATTTTACGAATTTTGAGCTTTCGACTCCAAGTGAATTGGGTAGAGACAAAAGCATTGAGCAATTGTATTCCAAAGCTTATATCTAGCGCCGGCCATATTGATTTCAATGCCGAATTTCCAATGGGCATTGAAAAGGCAAAAATTGCAAATAAAATTCTATCATTTAAATGGTGTCAAATGATAGGGACTTATTGGCTGTTCTTTTGAATTTTAAGACATGCTTAGTATTTAATTAGGGAATTTGCCATTAAAATTTTTATCAATTTAATGAAGAGTGGAAATTTGGCATAAGGAAATTAATGTGATGCATTTTCAAATTTTTCCTTTTAGGTATTTGATGCTACCTACCGACAGTGTAATAACCCTTATGATAATTTTTGTTAGAGGGCTTTGAAATGCTATATTTTAGAAGAATTTTCGTTATCTTCTTTCGATTTTTAACGGTTTGTCTTTAAACTAAATTTTGCAAGAAATGGCGGAAACTCCTCCCAAAAGATTATTTCATTTTTTAATCCATCTCATTTAATTTATTAATAAATGCATTAGTACAGAAAGATTAAAAATTATTTTTTAGTACAACAGTGAAACTTTAAATTAAAATCCTCTAACAAAAATATCAATTTCTAATTAATAGTATGCAATAAATTTTTTTAGCATTTCAAATGACAAATTTTTTACTTCATTTCAAAATGCCATACCTATCCATTTTTTAATATAAAATTATAATAAATTTGGTAGCTGCTTAGCATTTTATTACATGCAAAATAGAACAAATCATGAAAAAGATAAATTATGTACATAAAAACAAAACATCTAATCAGCGCCAAAATTTTACACAAAATCATCTAAAACTAAATTTCGGCAAAGTGTAAAAAACGTCCAAAAATATATAGTTAATTTTGTTTAATCGAAAAACCGAAAAAGTAATTTGTTACCCTATGCAATTTGAAATTGCATAATTTTAAACCCCAGCAAAAAATATAATACGGAACTGTATACACATATGTAAGCATAATGAAAACATAACGAGCTAAACCTATGTAAAAAAATATAATTGTAAATTAATAAAATGAATATACTTACATATAAGAAGTAAATAAATAATTTATGCAGACAAACGGAAACTGTGAAGTGATAGCACAAAAAATTTTAACACAATTATGCACTAAGAAAGTAACCGCACTAGAAAAAAACTATCAAAATTAAAAAAAAAAAAAAATTTAAATAATCAAAAAAAACCTTCAACTTAAAGCTAAGTATTTAAAAAAAAAGTCAAAAGTAAGTTACTAGTTAAGCAAATCAAAAAAAAAAACCTATTTAAAACTAAAATTAAAGTCTTGTAAAAATGAGGTTTATGATAAAGGCGCTTTAGGGTTTATTTAACATAAGGTTTAGCTCTAAAAATAAGCTGTAAATCTTTAAAAGGCTAATGTCTTTAAAAAATAAGT